CGGGGCTCGCGCTCGCCCCCGGCCTCCCTCTCCCTTCCCTGTGCTCCACGGGCTCTGCACCCAGGACCACACGTGGGCTGTGTTGACAAGGGCGAGGGTCCGGTGTGTTGCGTTTTGCAGGAACAGCTGCAGTCTCAGTATTTGAGGGACCTGCAGGAGGAAAGGACGAATGTGAGACTTACTGTCGGGCGTTAGTGGAAGATGCCGTTCACTTGTGTGGGTGGAATAACTTCAGTTCTGTGAGACCATAGTCCGAACACCATTGTTGTGATGGAGACTCCTTTTACTGAGACATTACGTGAGGAAGTAATGTGTCCAAGGGCAGGGACCTGTAAGGCTGGAGCTGAGGCTGGCATGTCTGCCCTGGGAATCCTGGTCCACTTGTCGCGAGGTGTCCTTTGCCACCGACTTCGGGGGACCCATAATCTCCGAGGGGAAGGAGAGAGAGCGAAGCGCTGATGTCCCTAAAACATTGCAAGGAATCAAAACATGTCGGCTCTAATGACAGTTCTGTGGTGTCTCCGTTTTACGAAGGAAAGAACAGACTAGAGGAGGAAAAATAGAGCAATTTCACACAACCAAATGCAGAGCGAGGCTGGAAACCTTAATCGATTGGAAGTGAAGTTTCATGCTTCCAAAAGCTGTGCTGTGCAGTGTGGCCCCTGAATGGCATGAGGTCCAACCGTTCAGATCCACTTACATAGATTATTTTCAATAAGTATATTGAAGAAAATTTTTTGGGATTTATAACAATTTGACTTTTCAAATTGTTTCTCTAGCCTTATTGTGAGAATACTGTATATAACATACAAAATATGTGCTCGTTAGCTATTTATTTTATTGGTAAGTCTTCTGGTCAACAGTAGACTTAAGTTTTGGGGGAGTCAGAAATTACAGACTTTTTTTTTTTTTTTACTGAAGGGGGTGGTCGGTGCCCCTAACCTTCCTGTTGTTCAAGGATCAACCGTGTTGCCTGGTCATAAGTCTGTTTTATAGATAGATCACCAGCAGTAAAGAAAAATTTCTGTATTTTGAGGCAGACAAAGGTGCCTTTTAGGAACTTCCTACTACATGACAGAAGTGGTCTTGAAGAATGAACAAGCCTGAATCCTAAAGGATATATGTACACGTGGTATATAGACGGTAGTCTGGGAATAAAGGGTCATGGACCAAGGCCATTCTCAGTTATTTGATACGGATGTGATCGATCATAGCTGTCTTTAAGACAGGCCACCAGGAGTAAGAAATTTGAATAGACCAGAAATAGGGAAGAGACTCAGAATGCAGTCCGCAGATGCTCACTAAATGTACCTGAGAATAATAAGTGCACTAATGGGTAATTTCTAACTTTTGGGTAGTAGAGAATTCCTCTGTTCGTGAGCAGAGGAAGCACGAAGACACACAGCACAATTTAATCGATTTAAATGTCTTTTAATTTTATATGTGCCGCACCCATTTCTTTTCTTCTAGTAATAGCACTTCCATTTTCCTTTGGAGGATTAATTCATTTCCCATACAATAGAGTTTTAATGGGACTGTCACGTTCCTTAACTTTGTGGTTAGATGAGACACAAGTGTGGCTAATTAGTTGAACGCTCCATGGAATAACGTAAGAAAATGGTTGGGATTAATTCAAACTGAGGACAGAATGCCGATGTGCCGCCTCATGGGTCTCGTTCTTCAGCCTTCTCTTCCGTTCTGTGAGCTGCTCAAACCAAAGATCCAAAACCTTAAACAGATAACCAAAAAATTGAAGACTTGGTTAGTCTCGCTTGTGTACATACATTTGAAAATCTTAAATACAAGCAAATAGCCTTTAGATTTTTAGAGCAGAGCTATGGAGCGAGCACGAGCAGGGAGAGGGGCAGAGGGAGAAGCAGACTCCCCACGGAGCAGGGAGCCCAATGCGGGGCTCATCCCAGAACCCTGGGATCATGACCTGAGCCGAAGGTGGACGCTTAACTGATGGAGCTACCCAGGCGCCCCAAATAGCCTATAATTAGTATATTAATATAATATTGTTATTAATATAGTGGCATCTTACAACCAGACTCCGTTTATTTTGGGATTTTAAGCAGGCTCAACATAAGGAAATGCTGTATCACTAGGTTAAATAATTAAAGTCAGGTTATTTTTGTAGATGCAAAAATGATCATATTTAAAACATTCCTAATTTTTAGAAGTAATTACAAAGATTCTTCCTTAATGAAAGGATAAAATAATAAAAGGAAAACTGAATCAAGAGGCACCTGGGTGGCTCAATCGTTAAGAATCGGCCTTAGGCTCAGGTCATGATCCCAGGGTCCTGGGATCGAGCTGGCCTCGGGCTCTCTGTTCAGCCAGAAGCCTGCTTGTGTTCCCTCTCTCGCGGTCTCTCTGTCAAATAAATAAAATCTTAAAAAAAAAAAAAACAAAAAACTGAATCAGAAGGCCAAAATTATATATAAGGAAGAAATGGTAGAGATGTGAGTTTTCAGCAAGTTAGAATCACTGTTATTTTCAAACCATGCATGCATGCTCTACCCCGAGGGAATCATTGCAGTTGAAAGCCACTGTTAAGGATACAGTGTCGTATCTCTTGAGTGTATTGTGGGTGAAAAAGATGGCAATTACTATAGAAAAGTATTCTCTTAATAAAAAAAGAACAAAATAAAGATTTTATTTTTAAGAGGCTTAGGGAGCAAATAATTCCTCTTTCCTCCAACTAAAACAGTGCAGCCTGGCAAATAATCAAACGGTAGATTTCTGATGAAGGACTTCCAGCTAGCAGCCAACATGGAGTAATTCCTACCAGAAACCATTGAAAATAGCACAAAATGTATGAAGCAATTGTTTTTCCACTGATGGGATGTAAGGCAAGACAGGGTAGTAATCTCTGGGGGCGGGGGAGAGGAATGGTGATCCCCAAGATTTCCTCTGACTCCCCGATGAGGGAATTCCGGCCTACCCCTGTGGAGAGCTCTTCCTTAGTTGAGAAGGGTTTGAGAGCCAGGGTAGATCAGGCTGGTGTGAATGCAGAGCAGAGTATTAGGAGGGAGCTGCACAAACAGCTCCAAAGATCTAAGGATTTTCCTCAGGTCTTCAGGTTAGAGCATCAGTGTGTCTAATAAGGAAACCACCTGTTCCCAGAGAAAGAACCACCAAAAGGAGCAGAAAAAAATCATTGGACTCACACAAAATCATTTGTTTTTCCACCAGTAAGAGTGGGAAACCATGTAAATCATAGGGCATTGGTTAGAGTGCTAAGAAGTGTATTGTCTCAGTACTGGGGGAAGAAATAGCTCTAGACTTAAAGATTTTTCCAGTTTGGTCTATCAAGATTAAAAGCAAGTCTCAAGAGAATTAAACTGTTCTTGTTACATGCTAGAAAATTCAAGAGTATGTAAAGGAATGCAAAAACACACCAAGGTAGAAGTCAGTATCTTATGTCCAATTAAATATTTTCAGACCTACAAAGAAACAGGAAAATAGAACTCAAAGTTAGAAGAAACAATAAAAATACCCAGAAATGACAAATAGCAAAGATAGAATTAGTATAAAAGGTCACTGAAGTAGTTACTACAGAAAAGTTATTGTTAGTTTTCATTAAATTAAAGCAGTTATATTAAGTGATAAAACAGTTATTGCATTTTGTATGTTCAAGCATGTTAAATCCAGATGAAACTCTACAGTTGAAAAATATGTTAGAGATGTAAAATATACTGAATAGAAATAGCAGATTTGACACTGCAGAACAGAACTTAGTGAACTTAGAGGCAGCAATGGAAAGAGGACCTGAAAAAATATATATATTAGTTAGGAGAAATAAGATACAGGGAAATTTCAGGCAAAAAAAAAAAAATATATATATATATATATATATATTTGGAGTTCCCAAGTGAGGAAAGGAGACAGGGCAGACAAAAATATTTGAAGAAATAATGGGTGAGAAATTTCCAAAAAATGAAAACTATAAACCCACAAATCCAAGCTCAATGAACTTCAAGCACAAGAAACATGGATATTATGCTGAGATGTGAAGCAAATTGCTTAAAATCGATTTAATAATTTAAAGGCAGCTAGGAAAAAAAAACTAGGTACAGAGGAATGGTAAAATGAGAGCAGGCTTCTGATCAGAAACAGTGCAAGCTAGAAAACTGGCACTCTCATTAGTTTTAAAGTATCTTTAAAGTTGAAAGACCATCAACCTAGAATTCTATACCCAGTGAAAAATATATTTCAAAAACAAAGGCAATATAATAGGTTTTCCAGATATATGAAAATCAAAAATTCACCAACAGAAGATCTGCACTATCCAAAATGTGAAACGAAGTCT